GAAACTCAATAACCTGATATAACTTTTGACTTATTATGTATCCAGTTAATCAGATAAAACCAAAATATGTAATAAATGTGAAAACATAAAAATTAGGAAACCGTTCTTATCACATGTATAAATATCACTGTAAATCACTATAATTTTCTAACCTTTTTTTTGTTGTTGTTGTTATATCACTATAGGGGTGCCTTGAGTCTTTAAAGGATCTTATTGATGACAAAATGATAATGCTGAAAAGTTTAGCAATTGTTATGGCTTTCACACAGGTCAGTTAGAAGATTTATAATTAATATTTCTTTTTTTTTTAAAAAAAAGCTATTTTACGACAATAATACATTAAAATTGAATAAATATTAACTTAACGTGCTAAAAATTTTTTTCTGTAATGTAATGTGTAGCGGGAAATACTTCATTTGGAAATTTTAATTTCAACTTGACTCTTTCTAATATTTTATATTGATAAAAATACCCAAAATCAATAATATTTTGAAAAATAAAGTAAATCTTCAGCGTTTATAAGCCTCAAAAGTTACGCAGTCTCCTAAAATATGTTTGTTGTTAAGCACAAAACTAAATAATGGACTATTTGTACTGTGCATCATTAGCCCAGAGGCATACTGCTGTTTAACTAGATGTTTGTTGTACTAAAATTGCGAGCGATCTTAATTTCTTTTTTTCTTCACTTTAGGCTTAACACATACTTAAGTTAAACTAGAAATTAAATATCACAAGAGCGAAAGAGTTAATAACATACGACACTAATATTTTATTTGAGATTAATAACCACAATTCCACATGGCGAAGACACAAATCAAGGAACTATACCTAAAAGACATATGTAGTTTCTTACTTCTAACATCTAAGAGTGTTTGTCATCTAAACATTCAACTTGTACATTACTAAAAAAAAAAAAGCCTAATATATTTTATAGAAATTTCACTTTAAAAACATCATTAGAAAAGCATTGTACAGAGTCACACTTGGTGTGATGGCTTAAATCGTTTAACTACAATTTTAGTTGTGGGCCAGTTATAAGAGTAACAGTCAAAACCGCTATTCGGTTAACAAGAACAATGTATATTACTGATGATGCTGACTAGTTGCTTTCAGTCTGGTAGTAGTAGCTCTAAAATTAAGAATGGCTATGTCTTGACCTTTGGACTCTCACGTGACCATTTACTAACCCATGTGTCACACAAGGTGGTCATTAGGTTGAAATCACCAAAATTTATTGTAATAAACACTATTTCATCAAAATCTCAACTTCAACTATAAAAGGATTTTAAGCTAATCAAAAATTAACTTTTACAAAGTTTAACCTCTAAATAAAATTTAACTCTGAAAATATGAACCAAATGTTTTCTTATTTTTGAAAACAAGTTAATTTGGGCAAGTATAATAAAACAATTTGAATCCAAAATATCTAACATTCCTAGCTCTTTTCACACAGAAAACCCATTAGGAATATAGGACAAAATATTAGTATCAGGCCAGGCATTGTCTAGTGGGTAGTATGCCCAGACTATAAATCTGAAGATTCAGGGTTCACAACCTATTGCTACTAAAATGAGCTCTGCACTTAAGGGCTATGCTGAATGGTGACGGCCAAATCCCTCTATGCAATCAGACAAGTGTAAGCATTAGCCATTGGTGTATGTTTGCCTTCCCTATAGTTTTACATCAAAATTCGGAAGCACAAAGACAAGAGTAATACTGAAAACATTAGTCATTTTCTAATATCAGTAGAGAAAGATCTTTAGTTCAAGTTGTTTAATTTTACATTTCATCACACAGTATTATTCAAGCAATTCTTTAATGGTTCTTGTTTTTCTTTTCTTTCTATAGTTCCTTGGAATAGTTTCAGTTTGCATATTTACCATGGTTGGAAAGAAGAAGAATTTGGATGTAAAAGCAAAGTATCATAAAGCACCTCAAAACTACTAGCAAGGTAAATTGTACTTATCATATTAGACATAAAAAAATGTCTCTGTTTCTGTAAAATAAATTTTCCAAATTCAAAATGTGAAACAAAACATTAATAGAAGTAATAAATAGATTTTGTGTGCACCATTTAAATAAAAAATTAGGCATTTTTGTTTTATACTCTATTAGTTTCTTTATCTAATAATAAGATTTCTGAAATTTTATAATTAAACTAATCTATATAGTAATTCTCAATTTTATCTGAGGTTACTCATCTACATAGTAATTCTCAATTGTATCTAAGGTTACTCATCTATATAGTAATTCTCAATTGTATCTGAGGTTACTCATCTATATAGTAATTCTCAATTGTATCTGAGGTTACTCATCTATATAGTAATTCTCAATTGTATCTGAGGTTACTCATCTATATAGTAATTCTCAATTGTATCTGAGGTTACTCATCTATATAGTAATTCTCAATTGCATCTGAGGTTATTCATCTTAATAGTAATTCTCAATTGCATCTGAGGTTATTCATCTTAATAGTAATTCTCAATTGTATCTGTGGTTACTCATCTATATAGTAATTCTCAATTGTATCTGTGGTTACTCATCTATATAGTAATTCTCAATTGTATCTCAGGTTACTCATCTATATAGTAATTCTCAATTGTATCTCAGGTTACTCATCTATATAGTAATTCTCAATTGTATCTAAGGTTACTCATCTATATAGTAATTCTCAATTGTATCCAAGGTTACTCCTTTGACAGTACTTATCCAACTACTTGAAATATTGCAGGCAGCCTCTTCACTGCACAGAATATAAAGGATTGTAAGGAACATAAAACAATGAGGCGTTCAGGTTTGACTGACCGATTTACTTGAACGTTATTGTTAATAGGGAAAACGCAGTTCAAAACAATGTTAATATTTTCAACTTTGAGCCCCATTACAGGGGTTAAAAGGGTTTTGGAGTTCTAAGTACTATATTTATAGATTTTCGTAAAAAAGCAAGCATGTTAATGCATTATTCAAAATAAGTATCTGTTTAAAATCAATTTTTTTTGGAGTGTGAGTGGTTGCATGAATTTATTCAAAAATTCTCAAGTAAACACAGATTGTTGTTCAAAAGAAGGCATGAACATTTTTTTGCATAGCTGTTGTTTATAAAATTTGAGGAATAATTTACTAGTATATACATACATATTATCTACCTATCTATTTATATATTTAAGTGATACTATTATATAAGTTTTTTGTTCAATCATAAAAATCTGATGTGTATTATAAAAATTATAATTATTTAGCTTGCATCTAGCAGTACACAAAATGTTTGCATTGGTGAAAATTCAATGCTAAAATCCAGAAACAAACCATGGAAAATTCATCTTATTAATGAAAATAAATAATAAAATGTGAACAAAATAGTAAACTCATAATCAGATAATCGATATTATAGAAAGATGAAGATCAATAAGACATCCGATCATAAAGATTTTTGCAATAACTTAAGTGATTTATTGTATGTATTCCTTTATTTTATTTTATGTAGCTGGCTAAATATTACTTCTATAATTCTACACCTAAATTTATATATCAAAGAACATTTTCATTTATATTTTAATATTTTGTTATTGTTTTGTGTTTTACATTTATCAAAGTTTTATGAGGCATTAATTATTATAAAAACGTTAAATGACATGTAATTCAAAAAATACTGCTTCAATCTTACATTCACAGCCATCTAGAAATGTGATCAAAACTGGACTATTGTTTGTATCTTTTTGTCATATATCTTATTTTTAAGACAATGTATTTTCCAAGATATTACTAATAGATTTATTTCAAAACTGGTTTTAAAGTTATGAACTTTTATTAATTTATTTTATAAATTCTATATTATTCCTACTTCACTTGGTGAGCTGCAGGATGAAGGATACGAGTACAAACTTTAAAGCGAAATGCAATAAAATAATCTCTTCTCTTTTAACTGTGGGTTGCATTACAGAGATAACAGTAGAGCTTATCATTCAGTTCAAAGACAGAATATCCCTTGTGGTAGCAAATGCTGTTGATTGGCTGCCCTCCTTGTGATCAGCAGTTCAAAATTAAGAAAGAATATACACAAAATCCAAGAAGTCTCCAACTTGCATGTGTCGCATAAGGTGTCATTCAAAACACCAGTATCAGTACCCATTTTATGGTAATTTTTAGCATGGTACTAATACTTCAATTATATATATATATGTATATTATAATACAAAAACAAGTCTTAATTAAAACTCTTGCTGCACAACAAAATAAACTCACCAGGGCACAGACTATAATGTGGTATATAGCCTATGCCTTGGTGACTGTTTTGCAGCATTTTGATTAAGGCTTTTTTTTTTGTATTATAAATACATTTCATTTGCTCATAGATTTGGTCTTACTGTTTGCATAAATATTACCTTGACTTTGACCAATTTTTCTCTAGCTTTGCTCGTTTCAAAATCAGCATCTAAATACCTTTTTTTTAGTGCATGAGGGGGTATATTTCCATAATGTTTAAATACCCAATCATACACTAAGAAATTAATAATGGTAATTTTTTTTACTCAATAAGGCCTATGATTGTAAACTTTTCTTGAGAGGAAAATTGTAATAAGTAATAGATAGCAGTTGTCATTTCCTTAATTAAGATTTCTTATATTTGAAAACATTGTATATTATGCATATCTCTAATAAATCACAACAATTTTGCAAGGTGCTAATTCTTTTTTTTTATTGCGGCCACAACAGTCACTTCTAAACACTACATGTGAATATTAATAATTATAACCTAGTCAAAACAGCTGCTGTAAATTCCACTGTTAAGACAGAACTTGTCAAAACTTCAAAATTTACTATATAATAAAATCACTTATTGTAACAAAAAAGGAAATGAATATACTTGTGCAAAAAACAGTTGAAATAGTAGTTACTTCATTAGCTGATATAAGAAAAAATAAAGTTTATTATTACCCATTCTACCATGATATAGTAATATGAACAATGAAAAATTACATAAAATATCATAACAATATAAATACAGTTAACTTTATTTAAAATTTTGATTAAAATCACAGATTTATGTTGACCATTTTGGCACCACCAATGGAAGACATTTTCTAGGAATGTGCCATCAACTATCATAGTTTGATTGGGCTTGATCACTGAACAGGTGCATGTGTGTGTGTGAGGGGGGTGCTGTGAATATTTATCCAATCAATGGGATGTGGCCTAAGTGGTACCTTCTCACATTACTTCATAGCCTTTTTTGATAGTGTGGGCAAGACAGCATGACAAAACCACTCCAATGATCTGTATTGAAAAATTGGAAAGCAAAATTATTACAATAGCATTCTATACTTTTCATGTGTATAAAACTTTTATTTACAAAAAGATAGAAAATTTATTGTATAAATGATTCCATTTTGTCATTCTTCTTATTAATAAAAGAAAAACAGAAACATAAGTAATTGTTTTTACCAGTTAATAGTACTTTTGTCCTCAGTTTTCTGAATATGCAATAGGGATGTGAATCACTCAAAAAACAGTGAATATTTTCCAAATCCCAATAATGGCAAGGTGTGTACTGTTAAAAACATGCATTCTGGGCTATTTTCTGCACATTTTATTGGCAATTTGTAACCAAGAAATGACAATTTATAATCCACATTCACATTGATATTCCTCTTCAGCTAATTCTTCAGTCCTTTATGTCTAAGATACCATCTTCCTGTCACCATCTCAATTCGTTTTGGCATTCTTGTATATTTAAAAAACACACACTACAGTAGTCATTTTACTATTGGACAACATGACTCAAAAAATGGATTATCACAGATTAACAGCTGAAACTTGTGTAGTTACATCTGGTTTGTTAATTTATTGCCAATTAATGCATTTTTTCTAATCTATCAGTGAATGCTAGAGATAAACTGTGATACTCAATTGCTAACTTTGTGCCTTACCACTCCAACTTTGACACTGACCTCTCTACTCCCAATGGTATCACTGAATTTGCATTGAATCTCTAGAATAACCCAAACTGACTAACAAAAAATGTGGAAATGATTACAAATTTTTATCCTGAGGTTGTTACTATAGCAACAAAATCAGAAGTATTACAAGCACTCCAATATGTAAAATTATACACAGACTTTTATCTACGTTAAAATACTTCTTTCAGCGAGCTTTCAACTCTCTTAGCGGAGCTTTTATCCAGCAACAATGTACTGAGTGATAAAAATTTGTTAAACTGTGGAATACTGTTTTAAAATAGGTATCTAGGCAACAGTCGGGACAATAACTGACATTAAAGTTATTAAACATATAGAATTATGATGAATATAAATTGATTGCTTCAATATAATAAACATAAAGAAAATATATTTTGAAGTCAAAATACTAAGTCTATATTTTCATATGAATTAGAAACTCAAGTTACAAATACTGACAAACTAGAATATAAAATAAGAAAGCCTTATCTTTTCAATTTGCTAAGATATTATTCATGTAGTAAATCAAACACAGTGGTGCCCCCACCCACCTCCTTCCATTTTTGGAAACGTTCCCTTATATACACTTACTTCTATATATGACATGAATAGCCTATTGGAAGCTCAGAATGTCCCTCTAGTGGCTTTCTTAGCCATTTTAACGGGCTTGGATGCCAATTCTTTCTTTTTAACCAAGATTTCAATGAGGTAGGTTGTGTCTTTAGTCTACTCAAAATTTCATATCTTTTCTAGGCTAAAATACATCTTAGTTACTAAGCTTGATAAATTATCGTGGAATTCTATGGTTTTAATGTAGTAATTTATATATATAACAATAAAAAAAATATTTTGTTTCATATCCTCCACATGCAAATCTTTTAAAGGCTTAGCAACCTATGCCAAGTAGCAACTGAGTACAAAGATCGTAACTAGAAGAGATAATTTTTTGCTTTACTTCTTTAGTTACTGTTCTATGCTTTAAGACAAATGAGTTTAAGAACTTATTTCAAAATAGCAATAATCTATACACATATATAATGTATAAAAATTGAAGTATGACTGTATTTTACAAAATACTAGTCTACTAAAATACAGCCAATACAAGTTACTTTGTCCAGACCAAAGGTTAGTTTTATGTTATTTGAAACGGTAACATAAGTGCACATGAGCCACGTCATTGTAACATATGTATTGTTAGCCAGGTATGGCTGAAAGGTCAATATATAATAAAAATAATAAATATATATAAATGTGTAATGTTATGAGATTTATGCTATTTAGTCTAAACATGTATATTTTCGTGTTATAATCTTTTTCATTCTAGAATAAAAAAGGCATAATTTATATTTATTTCCTAATTTTTTATGGCGGTTGCAAGATCGGTCAAATCTACCAAATTAATTACTGAAAATAACATATAAAATATAGTTTTTTTTTGTTAAGAAACATTTGATAACTGTCTGGACATTATAAAGATTTCGAATGTGAAATTTCAAAATTTCTGATGCATAAAACTATTTTTAATCTTAAAATAAATATTACTTTGCATGACAGATAGGCAAAGTGTGAAAAGAAAAAAAAAAGACATAAGAAAAACATTGCTTTACAAACCTTAAGACTTTGATATTTGATATTTTGTGTATGAAAGCATTGTAATGTTTACTAATAATCTGCCAAATTTTAACATTCGCTTACTAATTTAAAAGTTGTAGCATGAAAACTATAACAAGCACAAAATGGTTACAAGATCGGTCCCAGGGACTGAGCCTGTGCTGAAGGAACACTTTACAGAGATATTCATAAGCAACTAAACAACAGTAGCAAATTGTAACAGTTTGTAACAAATTGTAAGAAATGAATCCAACAATATTTTTTAGTTTATTTTATAATTCATAAAATTCTTAGTGCCATTACTCAAATTATTATTCAATTTCTATTCACATTGTAAAACAAGTCCTATAGCCAAGAAGCGAAATCAGAGTTTACTGTTATTCCTTATACAATGTATCCTACCTCGTAGAAGTCAAGTCAAAGTTTACTGTTATTCTTCATACAATATATCCTACCTCCTAGAAGTCAGGTCAAAGTTTACTGTTATTCCTTATACAATATATCCTACCTCCTAGAAGTCAGGTCAAAGGTTACTGTTACTCCTTATACAATATATACTACCTCCTAGAAATCAACTCAAAGTTTACTTGTATTCCTTATACAATATATACTACCTTCTAGAAGCCAGGTCAAAGTTAACTATTATTTCTTATACAATATGTACTAACTTCCAGAAGCCAGGTCAAAGTTTACCAATATTCCCTCTACAATATGTACTACCTCCCAAGAGCCAAGTCAAAGTTTACTGTTATTCCTTATACAATGTATTCAACCTCGTAGAAGCCAGATCAAAGTTTACCAATATTCCCTCTACAATATGTACTACCTCCCAAGAGCCAGGTCAAAGTTTACTGTTATTCCTTATACAATGTATTCAACCTCCTAGAAGCTAGGTCAAAGTTTACCAATATTCCCTCTACAATATATCCTCTATCCTATAAGTCAGGTCAAAGTTTATTAAATTTTTTTATATAAATTAAAATGTTACACCTATTCCCATTTAATTTGACCAGAAATGAATCAAAAGAGAAATTTTTAATAGTGTTTTATAAAATACATGGCATACTAAAACCACAGTTGTGAAATTAACAACTAGCTTCAGTAAACTGATTTAATTTCTGCTCCCATATTTTACTTTATGCCTTCACCAAAAATATCCACTACAGACATAGTCAAATTAGAAGTTGTTATATCTAATTTATCAGATTAACATTTTAAAAAGGATGCACAGTTATACTACCATAACAATATTGCATGAACTGAAAATGCATGAACCTTTTGGGGCTTTTATGTTAAACTTGCATTATTTAAAATAATGTCCTAAGATTATCATTATAAATATAAATAACATACTTCAACAAAAGCAATTCCTACTGCTGCTCCACCAACAGCTCCTGCTTTTTGTTTCATAATCTTCGTTAGAGCATCAGCACAAGGCTATTAAGGAAGAATTGAAATGCAATTATAATAACATTCAATATTTGTCTCTCATTTTATTTTTTACACAGTAAGCACAAGAAAAATGTTTTAACTATCCTACAAGGTTAATGTATAGCAATGTTTTTTTTATAACATACTTGTAAAATAATAGCATTGGCACAAATTCTAATGTTTGGATAAACCATGAATATGAATAATAAAAACATTTTCTTGAATTTTTTAATAATAAATGGCTAAAAACAAACCATAAAAAAACTTGTAACACATTTATTACTCGAGTTATAAGGATACTATCTGTATGAACATAAAAGGCTTTGCAGTTTATTTTTTTTTTAGGTAAAAAGTAAACTTAGCAACTGAAAATACAATTGCAAGCCATTTCATTTACCACTGTCTGCTTTTCAAGAGGTTTTTATTATCAATTTGCTATGAAACACTCCTCTAGATACAAGAAACATTATTAATGATTGTAATCTGTTTAAAGTACTTCCCTTACATCTGCACACTTGTGCTAGTCAATGCACATGCAAATTTAACATTTCATCCATTAGTTTGATTTAACTTCTTTTTCTATTCATTGGTTTAAAGTGCCAAGAAATGGCTTAATTTATTTTCTTTACGTTATGATGAAAGAAACCATCGGTTATGCACTAACTCCACTGTTACATACTTTGCCACTCTTCCCGGAAACACGCGTTAAACATTTATTAAACATCTAGAAATGGAGGTGTATTACATCAGATTGAACGAACAGTATTTTAGACATCTATCATCAAGAGAGATTTAAAGAAATAAGCCATCAGATGTATAAACATTTATTCGGATTTAGAGATCTATCTAATGAACATGTATTTCTAACAGTAATCCATAAAATTAACTAAGTACAAGGAGAGTAGTTAAATCATAAGGATGATGGTTTTAAATTATCACTGAACCAACTCTGTCAACAAGTTACTTAAGAGATTTAAGGCCTGCTAAAAGATACTACTGGAAACAAGATTCAAAATCTAATAAACTTATTATTATTGCTTTGAGTAAATTAACTCAGAATAGATTTAGTTTAAGAAAACTAAAAGTACTTAGCCAAATGTAACAATTATTGCCAAGTTACAAATATATGGAAATACATTCTCTAGTACAAATATCTCTTACCCAACCACTTAAGAATAAATCCAAGCTTATTATTTTATCTTAATTTTTTTTTAACTTTGATTATTTTTATTTCATGTAATAACTATATAATTAATCAACCTCATACTTGAGAAAGAATGTTGACTGTAATTCTGAATTTACTATGTGTATCTGCACAAAAGTCTGTTGTACACAAAGAACTCAGATGTGGTACAAAAGTATTTGTACTCAAGATATGTCTGTGAATTGATATCATCAGACTAACTCAGATACTGACAAGTTGGAGTGCAATGTGATATTCATGTGAAGAACAAAAATACTTTTATCCATCATAGAGGTTGTATTTGCATACATAACCTCTCAACCTTTGAAACACATATCTGGTTTTTTTGGTATTCTTGTATATTGTATTTAGTATTTACTCTCCTTTACCATGAACTACCACTATATTAGCAATGTAGTGTAAAATGAATTTGATATCTATGACACAAAATATAATACCATGTTGGATGGCATATGTTAAAAGGTCATGAAATGTGCGCAAAGGGTTAAGAAATCATCATGGTCTAATTCTGTATTTCACACATTTTTGATTCAATGTGCAAAGTACAAAAACTGTAACTTACAAAGTAACTACTTAATTGGCACCGAATTACATTCACTTCAACTATATTTTTCAGCTAAATAAAAGTAACATTTTTGTAGAAAAGTTATGTGGTTCTAACAAGAAATATACTATAGTTTTAAAAATCAAAGAATGATAGCTGTGGTCATACTGACAAGAAATAGTTTGAGTTTTTATTGCATTAAAAATTAGTATCCTAAGTAGTCTATAAAGTACAACATGTATAGAAAGCACATTTTTAAGCATAAACAGAATCAACTATTTTTAACTTACACCACCAGATCTGCTAATGGAGAGTTTAGTCACCTAAGGAGTTATGAGTGGATAGTACCTATCAGACAAAACTGTTTATTCTTGAAATAAAAATTTACAATAGGCTACTTTACCGTGGTATAAAGATCACTCGAGGTGTCTGTACAGTTACTTTCTTGATTCTCACAACAACTTGTTGGTAAGGTGCCGGTGAAAATATCATTCCAATCTGTAGTATTTACAGCTCCACAGCAGTGCAGCTATGTGCAAGATGTAAAACTGTATTAATTTTCTGTATCATTTGAAAAGTGATAATTATTTCTATGATCAGTATACACATAAAATTCTGAAAACTGTTGATAACAGTGGAGTTTAAATGATAAAAAATGAGTTTATAAGTTGTTATATATCAACACATTTATTAATATACATTAGCAGTTTATTAATCCAAACTAACAATGGTTATTACTATGATCTTAAGCATTTAGTAGTAACAAGTATTCCACTAATTAATTAATGTCTTCAGACATCAGCTAATATTACAGATCAAAAAAGTATTACATTAAAAAAAAATTAATACAATGCCTAATATTTATAACCAGAAATTTTAATTTGTTAACAAATAAAATATTTTGGTTTCAATACAAAACTCATGTCACCACCCGAGATGTAAAATATAGTTTGCAAAATATTAAATGGTCATAGTTTGGTTTTTTTGTTTTTAAAATTAATAATTATATTAACAATAATTAGAAAATATAATTTAGTTATCATTAGCCTGATTATGCAATACAAAATTTATTTTTATTATTTTGAAATAAGTTTAGTTGTACCAAGTATATTACACATTAGAATATTTTCAACACATAAAAGTTGTAATAAATAGTGTTTAAGAAACTTGTAACTTTTAAACACAAATACCATTACCTCAAAATAAAAATAACTCACTTCAAGTATTATATGTACTTACAAAATGACAGACCAATGTTGCCAAAAGAGAAATTTACATGACTGAATTACATTTGACTGCATCCTCAACTTAAATTAATATGCAACTTCTGTTGTTATAGGTACGGTATCATGTTACTAAGATAACACTGAAAGAAATTAAATACTCTGAAAAATAAGGATGCAATAAACATTAAAACCTTTTACTTTTAATATAAATGTTGCAATGTTTCATCTTTTTTGGAATCCAACACTGTCCTACATTTCACAGTTGATCTGTCACTTTGAAAAGTCTTTCATCATTAAATCATCATTTTGCAATGTTTTGTGCCTTTCTTATGACTTTTGAGGGCACTTTTGCCCATCCTCCTAATGTCAATCACTTTCCAACAGAAATTACAAAATACCTTGTGTTTGTCGGGTCCATAGCACTCATACCACTAACAGTAGGGGCCATTTACTATCCAAGCATTGCTGAAAACACATTTTTCCACCTTCAATTTCAGACATGCCAACACACTACAGCATACTTATCCCCCATTGTAACTACACACACGTTAAAACGTGGAATGGTACATCAAACCAGATTAAATGGACTTGATTACAAGTAGACCTAACGATGGTCCTGTGGTTTATTTTCACTAAAATATTACTTGTTTGTTTAAATACGTTTTTTTTTTTTTTATATAGATCTATAATAAAGATTAAAACCAGAAACTTTAACAGAATACAAATTTCAAGCACTTACCCCCAAAATATTGCCCTACACCTAAACATGACTTTTAATGGCCCTTGAAATGGATTTTTTCTTTTAAAGAGCTATTCAAGCACCAGTGCAAACCCTGAATAATCTATTAAGATAATTAATTCAAAATACAATAAAAGCAACTTTTACAGTAGGTGTTACATTCAATAATACAATGGAATTCAAGTTACTTTTAACCAATATCTGTTCATTTGTTTGTTTTATAGCAAAGCCACATTTGGTTATCTGCTGTGTCCACCACAGAGAATCAAACCTCTGATTATAGTATAGCAAGTCTGTATACTTACCAACCAAGGGGACAATACTAATAACCATAACCTCTTAGTTACTATTAATGTCCATATTAACTGTCCTATTTGAGTTACTTTTAATACCAAAAAGAAGTTACTTAAAAAAAAGTGTTAGAAGCACTAAAAGTACAGCTACAAAAATTTAAAGAACAAATGTAAAAACTAATATTAGGTACATTAAAAAAAATGGGGGTAAACTATGATTATAACAATAAGAAGAATTCAATTACTGCTGTAGAAACAGAACTTTTAAAAAATTATTTTCAAATGTGAAAATTATAATAAGTTGAAAACTGTGCTTGTGTTGCATATGTTACCACAAATGTACAAATAAAGTCAACATCAAAATATTGAACAGGCTGTATTTGCAGACTTGTTAAAACATATTGAATAAGCATAAATCTTAAATCAAAATTTAACATGATTCTAAAACTGAGCAGAATATTAGATGAAAACATTTTTAAAATTACCTTTTTTTGCATTGCATCCCAAGTATTTTTTACACCACCATGTCCTGATGCATTGTAATGCTTTAATGATTCCTTCATTTGAGTTCTGGTGAAATCTTTAAGCTACATTAAAAGAAAAAAAAACTATAGAAAACTAGTCACTTCAAATATATAATTTTGAAATAACTAGTAACCGCACTCTGAAAAAAAAATTTTCATGTTAAACAAAACAAATTCACTTCTAAAATTATTGACAGTTAGTTGAATTTTAAAAATGAAAAAACATCATAGAAAAATAAAGAACATAAAAACTACAATCGACTGTAAAAAGAAAATGTCTCAAAAGTTTAAGTAAAAAACATCAATATACAGTACGACATGTATAGCTAGAACTTCTTAGAACTAGAGAAAAATATACATTTTAAATGTTACATAATCTTCAAAAATGGCTACCCAAATAAAAGTTAACTTTATTCCTATAAAATTAATTATATTCAATGGTTTTCTTTATAAAAAGGAAGAAAGATATAACCTCAAGATAACCCTTAACTATGCCCCTTGAACTTCAGCTGAAACCTTTGCCCATTGCCTAACATACAAATGTATACCCATTCTTCATGCATCAGAATACATAAAATATTCCATTTTTTATATACTATTGATAATATTATTGAGTAATTTTATTCTAATATGCTTTTCAAATTCTGTTTACCTTCTCCATACTAATACTTTGACCAATTATTAAGTCACTATAAGTACGGATGATTGTTTACACAAGTCTTGATATGAAGTTATATTTCTTTCAATAATCATATTGTAACCAAAACAGAAAAAACAAGTAAACTGAAGAACCTGATTTCAAGTTATAAAATAAAATAAAAACATAATAATAGGGTGAACAACACAAAACTCTAATACCCAGATATCAGTATGTTATTTTAAGGAATGATTGTGTTTGAAAGCTTGAGACAATACAAACAACCACCATGATAAGAGTTATCATATTTTGCTCTGAACAACTAATAGTCTGTTGTGTGTGTTTACATGTTCTCTTACCAGAGGGCTAAAATGTCTACAGTTTTAAAAGCTCAGCAAGCCTAAAAATAGAAGTAATAAGTTTATGGGTGAAGGTGTTCAAAGATAATTTTGACTGAAACTAATTTATTGAGCAAGAGTTTGTGGACCTAGGAGGCCCCCAAAAGCTCTTGGGTTGTGCATTCAGATGCATTCTGAGCTATTTTAGACAACTTTCAGAATCAAATTTTAAATTGACTCTTTAGTAAAAAAGAAATTCAGAAATCACTTACAACTTATCATGTTGCCTGATGGACCATCCTGATAGTCACACAAGGCTAGTTAAATGTTTTAAACATTAATACTCACAAACTTTTTATATTAATTGTAATAACCAATTAGGAAAATGGTTGGAAGTTTATACCAGTAAAGGTTAGAACAGCATTTGCAGTAAAATGCAAAATGTGTTTATTGTACATTGAAATATACATATATTAAATCATGATTTGTAATAATGCCTAGAAACGATCACATGGATTTGTAACCATGCCTAGAAGTCGTCATTTGGACAGATTTGTATCTACAAATAAAGAACTTTCACATATGCAAGTTAAAAGTTAACATTAATTTTCTAAGCAATTACAGTAAACAAACATTATTATAATTGCTGGACACGTCAAGAAAATGATAATCTCCTTTTCCAGGTATAATTAAGGAGAATATTAATTTCCAGTGTTCTCCTATTTTAACCCCTTTCGCCTAGGGTGTCCTTTACTACACAAGAAAGAAAGTTTTAGTGTTTTATATTCAAAATTATATTAAACTACTTTTTTTAAGTTCCTAATTCTACAAGGCAATATTTAAAAGAATCCTGAATTTTCCCTAGTGTGACACTCATGACATTTTCTCTAGACATCTTGTCTTCTCTATTTTATCCACTAACCCCTTGAAAAAGTATGTGAATAAATGTAAATTATTCACTATAGAATTATCATTGTTCAGACAAACCATAATTTTTATAGCCTTAAATTTTGTTTGCTTACAGAGCTATTGAATAGAAAATCAGACCCCTCCTACCACATACACCTGTCACATACTTTCTTTTAGGATTTGTAAAGAGTTCACTCTTACGTTTAATTATACAATACCTATAACCACAGAAAGTAGAGGTTTTCATCTATTAAATGACGTATTATATAACATTTTGTTCTGAACAGATAACAGTCAATTTCACTCAGAGTACAAGCAATATACATGCGAGAAACTTAACGACTAGCTTGGTTGAATTTGTAACGGCTCTTTTCGCATAGTTAGAATGCCAGAACAATTTTGAGAGTTAGGGGAAATTGTCTAATTTTTTGCAGCCATTAGTCTATATTCTTTGGTGCATGATTTAATTAAATAAAAATTATTTAATGCATTACTACAATAAGTATTAAAAATTTAGGCTTATGTGTCCTTAACAATCGACATCAAGAAATAATAAGATTGGGTAAGTACTTTACTTCTTGTTTTCATGTTTATTTTTTATTTATTCTTATAAAAGTAACTAAAATATAAAAATAGGGATCTTTTTAAGTTAGTTAAGATCAGATCAGGTAAAATAAATAATAATAATATAATAAAAATGTTTCACCTCCAGCAGCACATAGGTAATGTAATTTGATAGTGTAATGTGAGCTGCATATGCCTTGAGTGATTTACAACTTATTATGGCATGGATAGTAGTTAAACATGGTTCAAAGGGTAATCAAAAGGGCAATAAAATAACAAAATTTAATTATCAATAGATGTATACTGTTACAAGCTTAATGCTACTTAGGATAAACAAATGTAGTTTCATGTTACAATTTGAAGTCATTCTAGAAAGAAAAAAAGGGCAATTTAGATTTATTTAGATTTTTTTCATGATTACAATGTCAGTCAAATTGACCAATCCCATTTTGAGTTAGAGTAGAGAAAATAACAGATAAAATATAAAATTTTACTGAAAAAAATGTTTGAAATGTATTTAGGAGATTTTAAGGATTACACAAAGGAAATCTGAGATTTTTTTGAGATGAGGAGAAGTATTTTTAATCTTAACATGAACACGAACTATTCAAAACAAATAAATATATTCATGGACAAATCTTTATTTTAGTTTATTAAAAATACTTCACAAAAAAAATATGATTTTTATGTATGTGAAAGACTTATAATGTTAACTGAAAGACTGCCAAATTTTGTAAAGATATACACACTATATTGAAAGTTAGAAATATTAAATCTATAAAGACTTTAAACAAGTACAAAGAATGGTCAGTCAAACTGACCTAGCATGTCTTGGTTTAGTTAACATATATTAATGTTGGTCATTTAATAGCAAATTAAAGATCTATTTAAGATAAACTAACATTACAGACCTGGTGAAATGTTTATTACAAAATATGCAATAACATTAACATTGCAGTTAACTAAAAGCTACTAAACAAGAAGTAAGTTAATGAATTAGGTTATAAAAGACTTGTCCGAACTAAACCACAATTTTTAGTCAAGTACATATTTTTATATTTTAAATTTTTGCTTAAATGTTCATCATAAAATGAAATGGTATAAATGGTCACTTGTTTATTTACAGAATGTCCACTTTTGATACAACAGAAAAGAGAAAATGTAACTGACTGTAAACTCCACAAACAACATGAGACATACTCATATTTGAACTAAAGTGTATCTCAGTTGATTTTTCTAATGTAATTAACCAAAATCTTAAAATTTCTATATAAAGTATACAACTTCTAATTGTCATGCATATTATTAAATGCTCAACAACAGAATGTTGTTTGTTACAAAGATTACCCATGTCCATAAAATGGTGCTACTATAGCGTGAGGTCTACCGCCATATGTCGTCTACCCAGGTC